TCCGTCACGTCGTCTTCCTCCAGAGTCACGTGAGAGCAGCTCTGATCCCTCGGCCGGGCCAACACCACCAGGTGGCAGCCGCCGCACGTTGCCTGGAGACCGGAGACAGTCATGTATTATTTATATATATATGTATATATATACATACATGTTTATCCATCATGACACAAATATGACACCCAATATTAAAAATGACTGTATTACTCACAACAAATCTAAATAAACAATAAACATTAAATACCTGCAAAATAAATGAATAAAAAATGTAAATTCACTTTTCTTTCATTGTAATAAAGCAATGTGTCCGTGTGAAGCTAGTTGTAATTACTACCAGTACTGTAAGCATGGTGTAGACGTACTGCCTGAACGTTACACTTGAGGAAGCGCGGACACAGAGTTGGTTTGAACTGGTTGGTGAAGTTCTCTTCTCCGAGGCCCAGCTTCCCGTGTCTGCCGTCTCCAAACGTGTACAGCAGCCCGCCGTCTGAACAACACGACACACGCTTCACACGTCTGCAGAGAGCTTCTTCATCAAATAATCAGAATGAAGATGAAGAGGAGAGGCACCTGTGACCACGGCGGTGTGGTTTTCTCCACAGCTCACGTGACGGACTCGTCCCTTCTTGAAGTGATCGAGCGATCGAGGGAGACGCGTCTCGAAGGTGAACGTCCCGTGACCGAGTTGTCCGAACTGACCGAGACCGAAGGTGAACACGTCGTCCTCTGAGGGACAAGAGACCGATTAACCAAAGACTTCAATGAAGGTGTAATGCATCACGTCTGACCTCATGTGACCTCTGTTCTTACTCACATGCTGCTTCTCACATCTGTGCTTCAACATCTACATCTGCTGGTGTTATTCTTTCTGAATGTTTTATCATTTAAATTACATTGTTATTTGAGTTATTGTTGATGTATATTTTCTACTTCCATCAAACTAAACCCAGATTTTTTGGATAAAGAAATTAAAGACAAACATTTAGCCGGTGAAGGTACTAATATGCTAAATACATATTACAAATATGCATATATATTCTAAATCCTGAGAATACAACACTTAGTGTTCAGCCATATTTGTAGTTCTTTCAGACCCGTGTTCCTCTCCAGCTCCCCTACCTGTGAGAGCCACCGTGTGTCCGCCTCCACAGGCCACCTGGGTCACCGGCTCCCTGAGGCTCTTCACCAGCTGAGGGACTCGGTGTCGGGCCAGCTGCTCGGTGCTCAGACCCAGTTTACCGCTGTCCCGCTCTCCAAAGGTGAACAGAGCTCCGTCCCCTGAGGCCCAAACAAGCTGTTACTACACATCAATACTAATGCGATGCATTGCCACACCCTCTGCTCACCGGTGACCAAGGCGGAGTGGTAGTACCCACAGGACACCCAGCTGATTGCTCGTCCCACGCTGACTTCCTGTGGCGAGGAGGCGTGGCTCTCCTTCCCCAAACCGATCTGACCCTCCGTGTTGTCGCCCCACATGAACAGTTTACCGCTCTCTGTGACGGGCAGCAGATAGGGAGATGTAAATGTAACGGCGTTTATTTTGTGAACAAAACACTGAAAGTACAAAACAAAGATGAATGGAAAACATTTCAATTTAGTTTCCTCTTTTTGGAAAAAGCTGGAAATGGTGACAGCATTTCATTTGTTTATATCTATTTATACTCGAGCGTAATTATTCATTTTAGGGTTTTTCCCAAATAAGAGTTTTGTGAAGCGCTTTCACATGAAAAATTGTATTTTACTTTTTAAATAACATTTTAACTTAAAAGATTACTGCGGAATCTAAAAACTAAGAATTCAAATTTTTAAAAAAATAATTAAATTAAATTTTAATAAATAAAACAATATGAATTAAATATATACATCTTCATTCAAAAAAATATAAATTTTAAAATCAATTAATTAAAACTGTAAAAGATTAAAAAAAATAAAAATAAAAATAAATGTAGATTGAATTTATTGACCATATTTAAAAACTGTTTTTTATTATTATAAATTGTAATAAAAATTTGAATGAAAATCTTCATCAGAAAAATCCAATTTACTGTCGAAAATTCTAAAATGTAAAACAGTTAAATTTGAATTTAACAAATATAAATAAAAAATACAACAACAAAAAAATAAAAAATGTGGGCGTCACCCGTGAGAGCAGCGGAGGTGTTTGACCCGGCAGCGAGCATTTTGATTGGTCCGTGTGACTGGAAGAAGCCGATCCTCTGGAAGGACGTCCTCTCCTCACAGTCACCCAGCCCCAGCTGACCCTCGCTGTTCCCTCCGGAGGAGAACACTTTGCCCGGAGCTACAAACAGGAACACACAACCCGGAACACACAACCGGCTCTTTACCATTCAAACTAAAGTCTGGAGAGTTCTACGTCCTCGGTCACACTCTCACCTGTGTAGATCAGAGTGTGGTTTCTCCCACAGGCCACAAACTGGACTTTCTCACATTTAAGAGCTGAAATTACACAAAAATAATAACAGTTAACGCTACAAAACCACTACTGTGAGTATTGTTTTAGCTTTGTCGCGTCAGGTTAAAGTGCCAGAGTCTTCAGTGTGTGTCTGTGTAATTCCATTTAAACTGACTGAGCTTCCTTAACTCCGTTATCTTCTGTCACCGGCAGTGCACAGAACTCTGATGAGCAACCAATCGTCTCTCTAGATTAGACAGATTATGGACCTTCCAGATTGGGATTATGATGGGACGGGTTCCCCTCTGCAGGACTCCTCCAGCTCTAATGTCACATGAAGGTTTTAAGGAGGGACTCCCTCTGTTCTCCACTTAGAGGAGGCTGAAGCAGCACTGACACACAACACTCTCCCTCAAACAGGAAACAGCTGTTTAAGGACCGACCTTTGACACACGTCGGCTTGCTCACGGTCAGTTTGGATCCCAGACCGAGCTGGCCCCAGTTGTTGCTGCCAAACATGAAGAGTTTCCCATGTTCTGTGAAGACAAAGACAGGTTGATTGGTTGTATTTTAAGGTGCTTGAGCTGAAGGGAGTGATGCGTTCAATGAGCAGCTGGTGCTACCAGAGCGTCTCTCACCTGTTATTAAGGCCGTGTGCTCGTCTCCACAGGAGATCTTTAAGGGGACGTCGTTTTTAAGCCAGAATTTACTCGGGACGTTGTCTGCAAATTTACTCTTTCCAAAAGTGAAAACTGCTCCTGATTCTGACAGAGAAGAAGAAAAGAAACTAAATTTATTCATCACACTTTAGATCATATATTGATCACTTTAAGACTATTTCCTTTAACTTCTTTCACTGCTGAATTATATCATTTTCTTTTACCTGTAATAATGTATCATATTTTATACATATTTTGTACTTCAAGTATATGTTTATGCTATGTCCTTTGTACTCTTACTGAAGTTTTATGACACTGTGGTATTGCTACATGTACTTTAGTAACCATAACAGTACAAATACTGCAGTAACCAGGTCCCTCTAAAATGTAACTTTAGTGGAGTTTAACTATATAATAATATACATACAATGTAAAGAGTACAAGTACATGGTAATGGTCGTTAAGTAATGTAGTTATAGTTTATTATGTTGTGACTACATTAGTGAAGCCAAAACAAACATAACTTCTCATATTATCACAGTAATACATTAATACGTTTAAAAACCAACATATTAGTACTTCAAGCAAAGAAAATAAGAAGTGTATATATTAATAGTAACCTAGTTTGAGTGTTACACATATGATACATAAATAAATGGTGAAAGTGTATATAAAAAGGTGTATTTTCTGTTAGCATGCTAGCTAATAAAGCAGAAGCTAGCTGAGCTCTCCATGTAGCTGCATGCTAACAGCTGACGCTAACTACATGAATCGTTGTTGGTGTAGAATGATGAAGGAAGAGTCGGTATCTACCCGGGATCTCGTCCTCGGACTCCCCTGCCATCTCTGCGGGACTTTAATCCGCTTTGCTCCGCGTCGTGGTGCTCCTCTTGTTTTCGACTCCGACAACCCGGAAGTAAACAGAACTTCTCCTAGGTTACGACGTTACGACGCTGACGACGTGACTCTTAAAGGGACAGTGCGTTTGTTTTGATGCTGAATACACAAACTGATTTATAAGTGTTTATTTTAAATATGTGTTACTTGAACAGGTGAAATAAATTACTTTTCCACTGTAAAATAATAATAATTATTATTATTAAAATACAGACCTTTTTGTAAGAGGTATCAATATTTTATTAAATGACATAATTGTATGTTATTTAAATGGTTCAATGTTATAATCACAAATACAAATCCTGTGGAACCCAAAAGAAGAACCCCCATACCCCCTGTGGCGGCTGCAAACTATAAACCATCAACACGGCACAGTGACGGTTTCACTCTTCCTTAAACTATGATACGAGACACAAAGACACTTGTTTGACTGACTTTATATTTCTGGATTGAGTGCACGCTATCAAGTAAGGTTAAGTCAAGGTTGATAAAAGGACCATCCTTCTGGCAAAAGACTGATCAGCTGCACCACACCTCCCTAAATAGATTAGCCTGGACAATTGGACTGTACCATTCTACAACAGCATGAGGGGTGTTATCAGGAGCCTTTACGTCTGCACCACAGCGGAGGAATGTCTTCACACCCCTGCAATTAACTATGGACTGGCCAGCATAGTATATATGCTGCAGTCAGGAGATGGAGAAGTTAGTGTACCTTGTTCAGAAGAACTAGTAAACTAATAAAGTTTATTTAAAATCATCCACTTTCATGGTTTGCAGCTGTTAGTTGCTCCTCTACTTCCTTTGTACACTACATATTATACACTACACATGTTAGAGCTTCTATTCATATCCAGGTATCAGATCATGACACAAACATTAAAAACAATCTTGGATGAAGCCTGAAGCCTGAAATCTTTCACGGAGGAAACATGACTGCAGGTGAAACACACAGATCCCTGCACACATATGAGGCACACATATATAACAGAGAGAAATGAGGGAGGGCTTTTAGTTTGTTTTGTGCATTTCTACTGAGCAGAGAATGTGCAGTAGATCCCCCAGTGATCACTGGTGTAGCGGCCACACTTCAGCTTCTCCAGCCCTATCAAGGCCATGCTGTCGGGCTCCAGCTGTGGGACTCCTTCCGCGGCCGCCGGCCGCAGGTAGAGCCGGTCGAAGCGGAAGCGACTCTTGTAGAAGTGGTCGTTGTTGGTGTTGGCGTGGGTGTCCCATGTGTAGCGGCAATGCTCCGGCTCTCCCAGCTGCTGCCACACATCACAGGAATCAGGAAGGCCCACTTTGGCCACCTGGGGAGGAACAGTGTATGAACAAAGAGGTGAGCTGTGGATTACTACACCAACAATGTGATATGTATTATCTTTGTAATGGCTTTATTAGACAGAAATGACAAACATCAAACATCAGCATCCCTCAGGTTGGTGTCTCCTCCAAACAGGACGGTGATGTCATCAGGCATCTTGGCCATCCTCCTAATCACCAGTCTCAGCTGTCTCATCCGCTCTCCTGCGTTGGCCTTACAGCTCTCAAAGTGGGACGCCATGAAACAAAACTTCTGGCCTTTGAACAGCACCTGATTTTGAAGGAGAGATATTTTTAGGTAGATGCACACCAGGCAAAGCTGAAACGAATTGTTCTGTGCACCAACCTGAGCGACAAGCAGGTTCCTCATCATGCGAGTGGTTGGATAGGCGACTGTCTCACTGTCCAGCAGTGTGATTCGAGACTTCTTCAGCATCATCCCGATGAAGTAACCTTCCTTTCCACCTGATCAGGGAGGGGGTTCAAAATGTACAGCACCTTATAGTCTGAGTGTATACTGTTTGTTGTGTTTGTACTGGCTAATGCGTCAGACTTTTACTGAAGTACTATTAGTGAAAGTACAATCTGCACAAATGTGGAGAAACATCCCATATCAACATTTTGAGAGAAACGTATTTATGAAGGATGCGGCCAGAGGGACGGTCAAATGCCAAGCTGACCAGCAGGACAGAGAGGAGGAGTCCAAGATGTTTTGCTAAGGGATCGATAATGGGAGGGGACAGAATTCAAATGAAGCCAATCACTAATCGCCACGGAGGGTCATTCACACGTTTTATGACAGTATCGGACACTTTCAGACTCTCAGGGGATACAAAAGACAATGTTTTAGGGAGTTTACCTCAGATCACTGCAGCTCTCATTTTCAGCTAACTGGCCGCGCCGGACTGTGAGGAGGTGCGTGTATGTGGTCTCTGCTCTCGAGAACATTACTATTGATAGTTAATTCAGTTTGTAAGTGAACTTTGTGTAGTACATTAAATATTGTTTTAATGTTGAACCGGGTCCAGCTCATTCTTCTGATGCGCGTGCGCAGTAAGAAGCTCGCAGCAGAAGTGTAACTGCGGCCTGCAGGCTCTCTCATCCTTTGTTCTTAAAAACCTAACAATCCATAGAAGAGTCTTCTATGGCACAAACTTGATCCATATCCGTCTCAGAGTCAGCCATGGTGTCTTTAAAAGACTCATCCAAGGTGGGACTAAACCTGTGTAGCACAGCAGAGTCATAATGTGACTCTGCACAACGCTTTAGTTTCTGTTCTACATCAACGATTCTCATCGACGCGGAACCTTTGAACTACGCTGTTGTTTCACGTCGGCGGTAGAATCCGGAACTGTCAACAGGAAGCGGCGGAGACGCAGCAGCGCTCGTTTCAAACGTTGGTAGTTTAAAACTAAAAACTCTTGTTTTCGTATTTG